CGCTTTTGCGAATTAAAGCAACCCTTCATCCACAGTCACATCAAAAGCAACAATCCAGACTGGCGGCTAAAGAGCCGCGCTTAATTTTTGCGAATTAAAGCAACTCACTCAAGCACACGTCCTTTCGGCGTGGCTCCCTTTATTCAGTGCACTTGGGTCTTTATCATCAGGTTGTAAAAATACCCATAAAGAGAGCTATTAAATGGCTAAGTGATGTCAACATTAGGTGAGCTACACTATCCCTCACTACCAAATTCTGCCCCGCAAGTCGGTCGAGTTCATCCGCTGGGATTTGCAATATGTCGCCAGCATATTCATCATGCCCCACACCTTAAACCCCCCTCTATCGCTATCAAAATATTGACAATTGGTCTTTAGTTGGCGTGAAGGTCGACTGCACATTAACTGAACACTCATACAAGGACACGAGTCGCTCTAATGGAGACTCGGTCAGGGCTCTGAAAGTGGGGGTTGGATGAGGGTCCGTGAGACCGTAAGGGCGTGGTCGAGTAAATCGGCGACACTTTCGAGCCAACTTTTTGGCACATTGTTAGGTGGAGCTTGCGGGCGAAATTATCATTGCAATTATCTTCTAATTGAATGCTAATTTTAGGCCGCGGCCCACTTATGTTTGCCTGTGCCCCCGCCACTGCGGACTTGCTAAAATCCCAGGCTGTTTACTGCTTCGTGACTTAGTTGAAATTTGGATAATCGAATCGGAATCAGATGTGTCTTGTGTTGACTTTGGCCAACTCTAGCCAAATGAAAAGCGGCTCTCGGCATCGACTCGGTTTCGGACCTGAATTTTGACATGTGCTGACGTCGTTGTCGATGGTGATGATGTTGACCGGGCTTTTGCTTACGGAATATTTATTGAAGCAATTGGGATGGATAGACACACATGACTAAATGTATCTGGTAGTGCCAGGTCGTACCAGAAGGGAAGGTGGAGACCAAATAAATCCTTCTATGGCTGGGCGAACACTCGCTCTCTGTAGAGGAAGGCCATACGTGAGAACCCAACGTTAAGCCTTTGGAATTTGAAAAGTGGCTGAAATATAGCCCCAGACTCGTACTGTCCCCTGAGTGAAAGTTCAACGTAAGGGCGCGGTCATCTTTGATTATTCTCGGGCCCGTCCGCAAGTGCATTGTGTCTTTCACTGACTGAATGCAATACTGACCGAATGCAGTGGCTTTTGGAGGCCTAACCGGAAACTTTTAATTTAATTAATTTGTACACAAAGGCGCAATCAACAGAAGGCGGTCTTCCAACCCGGTGTCTGGCCCCCGACACGCCCCCTTTTCCCTCACTGTACGGACTGGCATGGGAATAGCGGATACCAGCGCCGCGTGCATCTGCTAGATACCCGAAGTAGTAGTTTCAGATACCTTATGTGTATGTAGATAGATAGATACTCATAGATAGACCGCTTCTCACAGGCTGTTTGTCGAGATAGAGGGCTTTGATGTTCACTAGGTTTGCTCGGTTCGTTTCGACTAGTTTCGGTTCGAGAGCAATTCCGAAAATTTGCCATAATTCGGGCAGCGGGCAGGAAAGAAGATGCGAGATTCGTCTTAATCGAATGCGAACTGCAGTTGGCTTTGACTTGGGGCTAGGCTGGGTTAGTATGGGATGGGATGGCGCAACAGGTGAACTCTGTTTATTGATGCAGTCATTTCGCTAATTCGTTTGTTCGAGATGATTTAATGGTCTGCCACTGACACGGCCAATGGGATTTGGCGGACATGCGGAGAAGCGATGGATGAACGATGCCCGGATATGACAGTTATCAATTAGCCATTGGCGATATCTACCCCTTGCTCGGAAATGCGGTGCAAGCAACAGGTGAGGGATATACTCTGTCCGCGTGATATTGGTTCTTGGGTTAATTTTTAGTGCGGTTCGGGGTAGAGCGTAAACCCTATTTGGCCTGTGAGTTGGGCCTAATATGTACGAATCTTATTGATTTTTATTTGGCCCTTAGGGGCTTAGCATATGTTGTATACTTTTCCACTGCGAGCACATTTATATTATTTAGACAAATGCTCGGCAATAAAGAGTGCTATAAAGACGCCTGCCGCAAATTGCCGAGAGAAAAACTAGTTACCTGGAAACACGGGAATCGATCGCTGATCGACTTTTTCTGTGTGTATCACTTTTATGCTCCTTGCTCTTTGGCACTTTTGGAGGAGTCCCTTTGATGGGTTTGTTAGTTACTACTGCCTCTCGATAGGAAGACTGCACCCGGATCGGGACTTGATTGCACAGCACTAACACAGATAGCACCAACCGCTACCAACAGCCACCAATAACCTGTTGCGCCTTGATAATCTCTCTTTTTTTTGTCCGCGAAGGCGCTAATTCAATTGACACTTGTCGGCTACGGTGCCAATAAAAATTCGGATGGAAAACTTTTCCAAGCGCTTTAGTTTGGCATTTCATTGATATTCGCACTGAATTTGCTTATTAATTATTTCATGGCACTCGTGTTCAAATCCGAACCTAAATTCCAAATGAAAAATTCAAATGCGAAATTCTTCCGCGTTGGCCAACGCTCGACGGCAAAATGCGCGAACGTTTCGCATGGATTCGGATGCAGAGGCTCTGGGTAGCCAACCCTCCACCACACGCATGTCGGGCGGTGAGTAAGGGTGTGTGGTGTATTTTGCGGGAGTGAGGTGAGTTCGGACTATGGCTGCCCACCCACTGAGGCTCGCGTCATTGGCGACGCGGAAACAATCATAAAAAAGGGAGAAATAAATAAAATATGTTGAGGTTTACGGTTTATGGCAGTCGTATTCGTGGTGAGATTTCCGTTTTCTATTTTGGGCCGATGTAAATCTTTCTTACACCCTCAGGGACACATAATTGAGACGTGAACATAAGCATATAAATATTTACTCTCAGTTCTGTGGTTCTTTGCCTGCTTAATGAATTTGAGTGGCCGCAAGAATTGACGGCACTTTCAATCAATCGACTCATTGAAATTGATGACCCACTGGTTGCCCCGGCGACAGGAGCCGAAAAGCTGATCGAATCAGATCGGATCGGATTGGGTGGAGGCACCAACTTGAGTGACATTGGAAACAAGGAGAAAAAAATGGAAGGGACTCGACTCAACATCAATGCGGATGTTGGCGTAAACGTGTCCAAGGGCACGCAGCCCTCACAATTATCATTTGGCCAAAATCAATTTGTGCGATTTTGTTGCTTTATGAGCTGCCATCTCTGTCAGCGCTCCCTCCCCTTCCCATACCCCACTGCTTGTGAGCAGTTCATCAAAAAATTGTTGGCCGCATATTAATTGGCAGTCGTTGTTGCTACTGTTTCTGCTGTGAGCGATCGTATTGTATGTTATTAATGCCTTCATATACTGGAAATATCATTTTATTGACATTTGGCGCACGTGATACGCCTGCAGAGCCGGCCACTCTCTGGCACCACCTCCGCCACCACATCCACTGTTTGATTATAGGTAAGTAAACACTCGCTGCTTTAAATGAGCAAACAACCTCAAACAGTGGCTCCCAGTGATTGCTTTGCCGCTTGCTGGTTGCAGTCGGTGCGGCGTATAGCAGTCTTAACGGATTTTCGGGATAGCTAGACACTGCTGCAACTGTCATCACTAAAACCATAAACACGTGCCGCACATTGAATGGTCATTTGCACGTCCATTTTTGGTTCTGGACGGAAATTTCGTCGTAATCGGGTCCATAGACATGACCGCACTAAGTTGGGCGGAATTCTCATAATAAATTAATTAGTTTTAATTTTTGAAAATTTAGTCGAGACTCCATCGCTCTATTGCCAACATTGCCAACCATTGGGAAAAAGTTTTAATGAAACCACAAAAAGCTTCGTTGCCAACCTTCCATTTTATTTTGAATATGTAAAAAGAATAAGACACATTGACATTCAAACGACAGTAGAATGTACATGTAGTATGTAGAATGGAAAATCGAAAAAACCCTCTAATTCCCGCTCAAATGTCGTATACGTGATTTGCAGTTTAACTTGAAGATCTTTAAACTATGGATCTGATCTGTATGGCTCCATTCAAAACACAAGCCCATGGGAGGATACGAGGATGTGTTGGCTTGACAGTTATCAGCATTCAGTTGTATAAGTAAGAATGAATAAGTGCGTCAAACAAAATGAATGCGATGGAATAGAATTTATTAGACTTGTGAGGAAAATAGATAGATAGAAACATGAAAAGTTTCCGACCCATGGGCCATGGTTACCGTTTTTTGGTTATTAATGCAGACCTCTACATTAATTATTGTTCTAATGGTTAGAAAGATAAAAGTCATGGCAAATATCGCAGCATTAAGAGTACTAGGCAGAAACACTGACTTCTGGACGTTACACACATCCACTTACAACACAAATCTAATATACCCCTATACTCATTATGAGTATCGGGTATAATAACAATAGTCTGTAGATAGGATATTTAAACATTATATTATCCCTCACTAAACTGGCAATGAACTAGCTTTTCGTTTACTATGTGGATGTTTCCGGGGCACATGTAGACCACTCGGCTCCAACAATAGGAATCGGATATCGCAGCTTCCCCCCCTTCCTACGGGGGGAAATGGGAAGATGGGAATGCGAATGTAATGAGCAGAGAAGAGTGAATGGGGTGGATACCGTTTAGTTATTGTCGCAGCTTGTGGGAACTGAGCGATGGGCGTGGCGTGACACAATCTGCACTTGGCTGCACTCTTCAACGATTTCGCGTATTTAATTACTCTCTGCGGCCGCAACTGTTCCCAAACCCACCCCATTCCACAGGCTTGTCATGTTCGTTTGTATTGCATATCTATAACATATCCATTCCCTGCCATCTATACATACACATATGTACATGTGCTATTTAAATATGGGCATTTCGTACCCAAGAGCTGAGCACTAAGAACATTTTAATTAATACGCAGCGCCTGGTCCGGGTCTGTGCTTCGGGACAGTTTCTGGTTCTGCTTCTGGTTGTTTGTCTGCTCGGGGGTCTAGTCTCAGTCTTCAGTGGGCCGCGAACGCGAATGATGTGCGCCGAGGGCCGCGATTCGAGTCGGTGTAAATAGGGAACGCCTTCAAGGTCTTGGGGACAGATTTCGTCAATCGGCAGAGACAGAGGCTTTGATTGTTTGGCGCCATGTGCTGTTGGTGTGCACGAGTCTACTGGACGGTTCTGCACAACCTTTTTGCCCGCTTCCTCGGCAGTATCGAAGAGCAGAACTGCTGCCGCTGCTGCGCCGGGTACCAGCGTCAGGCGAGTGATGACGATGACGTCGATGTCGATGTAGGCAAACAAGTTTCCGATACTGATGACGAACCACAGCAGCAGCCCAAGCGCGATTATGTCATTTCGGGTGAGTTCTCTCTGATTTCACGTACTCTGGATGATCACTGATCACTCTCTACTTGAGCCGCAGATGATACAGAGGCAAACTATTCGGAAATCGAGGAGCACAACATCGAGACTGAGGCCTACTACTTCACAGTGGACCGTCCCATTGCTGAGAGAATGCTGGCCGGAAGGGAGGACGGTGCTTGCCTTGTGCGACCTTTCAAGACCACCGACGTCTGTATTAAATACATCGTGAGTATCTGCGTCGGCGAACAGTTTTACCATCTGTTCGTGCGACAGATAGACAGGAGGCAACGCTTCGCCATAGGACAGAAGAAGCTCCACGAGCGGATCTTTGCCTCTCCCCGCGACATCGTCGACTTCTATTCCGAGCACCCACTGCTCTGCACCAATAAAAGCCAGAGTCAGTGCGTTCGTCTGACGCCTATCAGCTATGCTTAGATAGAGTTAATCTTTATTAAGTAAGAGTTGAAATATGTACAAATTGTGTAAAAGTATCTTAAGATAAGTTGGGTATGGTTTGTTCCGTCCCGGACCTCAGGTGGCCACTACTGCCTTGAAGGCGCACTGGTTATTCTGCATCAGCGCCGGCCAAAGGAAGGCCTTAATAAGGTCCGAGCGTCGGTCAGATTTCGGATGACGTTCGTGCTTCTCGGGCCGGAGGAAGCCTAAGTGGATTAAAACAAAATTTTAAGCGTATTATGATTAATATTAAACAAAATGTTCTTACCCAGACTGAAGTCCATGTCCAGATAATAGGGAGCCTTCTGGTTGATCATGCGCCAAGCCAGCCGTACACAGGCGCTCACATAGTGGGTGAGTGGGGGACACGATTCCAGGCATGGGTACTCGTGAAGTGTGGATAAAACCTGGTTGAAGACGGACCGCTCAATCTCGCCTAGGGGAAAACTGTCCGTGGTCTCGTGCAGATGGTGGCGCACAGCCCGATCCAGGGCCAAGGTCGATTCGCTGCTGCTGTCTAGTGCGCAGTTAAGGACCCGGCGCACCTCCATCACTTTCCGCTCCCGCATCGCGTGGCAAAGGCGGAAAGAAAGCTGTTCAAAGAGAAGAGTTTCAATCATTAGAGGTGCTCTACCCACTGATCCTGATCCAGTAAGGTGCGGTGTCATTCATCTCCAATCGAAAGTCATTCAACGAAAACAGGTCTTACCAGGAGTTCAGATCTGCATCGCTGAAATAGTTTCTCGATCTTTGCGTGGCCGACGCCTGCAGCGTCACTTTCCCTGAGCTCGTTTTCTTCTGTAAAGTGCAATGAACATCACCATCGCAAGATCGATTTGGATAAATTGATATTTTGCAATACCAATTTGCTGCCTGATAGGACCTGCACCTAATGGCCGTGAGCCTCTATCTCTAAAAAGTGATTGGCAAGTAGAAACTTCATGCAGTCGCTGTGGTAGCAGTTTTAGAGTTACTGTACTTCTTGCCAATGGAATGAGTTGTAATTAATTTAAATGTATCTGACCTCCAATATAACTCATATGAATACTGTATCGAAAGTTTGAATTGCTAATTTGGTGATGGAACTCCGAGAATAAAATGGTTTTTTTTCCAACACCCACAGCCATCTTCCATCAATCATTACTACGACCTATGGCAACTCCTAACAAGAGAGATAAGATCTACGATAATAAAGAAGATAATAGATTAACGCTTAGGCAACAGGCGACATGCGGAATTTCTCTTTGAGTCATTGGCAATTGAAAGTTTTACCGACATTGAATTGGCAGTTTAATTACCAATGACTTGCCCCGATCGGTTTAATCTCAAAATGTTATTTTGGCCACCTCTACCATCCATACTATATCATAACGGTACAGACATGTGCACCGTCAACCAAAAACCGGAATTTTAAACTTTTCCAGTGAGGAAGAGGAGACCTTGCCGCTACTTACCACGATCATGGAGAAGAGTATCTTTCCCTTTAGACTGTGCGCGTGCTTCAGCTGGGGCAGACTGTCCAACGCCTCTAGGGCATCTGCTCGGTTCTCTATGTACTGATTTCGATAGAGCGACACCATTTCACTGTGGAGCAAATAAAATCGTGGGCAGAGCCCCACACGTCAATAAGAGAGAGTTTGTATTTGACTTCGATGTGGGTGTAGACGCCATCGAAGCAGGTCAAGTGTTAGAACACAGTAAGAGTACCTGCCGTCATCGCTGGCGGAGTCGTCCGAGTGGTAGCCATCGCTACAGCTGCTCCCACCGGCAGTCACGGGGACCTCTTCTATGGCCAGGGGATTTGGTGGAACGCTCTCCGGCCCCATCATGTGTAGGACGACCTCGCATCCGCGCGAGAAATTCATCAGGAGACCGGCGGCTGGGCGCTTCTCCACGTTGGCATGTGCGTCTAGGCGCTTCACCTGTCCCACGCAGGAGAGGACTTCCTTGTCGTTCTCTACGCGGGTGCTGAGATTCTCGACGAGCGTTTGGAGTTGCTTTAGCGTGGGTTTGTCCAACATGGTCAGCAGCGTTTTGTTGTCTATCAGCCGCTGCTGGATGTCTCCGTAGTTGATGGCCAGGAGGCGCTGGTGGGAGGAATGGGCCGGATCCTGGTTGATCGTCACCATGCTCAGTTCCTCCAGCTTGTGTATAGCCATCTTATAGGTCTCGACGTGTCGCTGCAGCTCTGTCTTCAAAGCCACGTGCAGCGAGATAAGCTGCCCCGAGGCATCCGTGGTCAGCCCGTGCACCCCCAATCCCTGCACAGCATTGTCGAAGCTGCGGCGCCGCTCGCGCAAGCTTTGTCGGAGATTGGGCTCGTATTGCGCCAGAGCCTGGAGCAGCTTGGTGCATCTCTGTCGCAGTCCGGACTCGTGGGGATTTGCAAAGAGCCGGACAAGCTGCCAGGCCACGGTCTCGCTAGGAACATCCGGCTTGGGAGTTGTGTTTAGGGTGGTCAACCTGTGATGGGAGAGGCGATTAAAATCTCACATCTTTGGTAAGCAGCTTATTTACCTTGTGAAGAAGGACTCCAGCAAGTAGGCACTATGTGGCAGATGCTCCAGCAGCAGGTCGAGCGGCAGCTCGGCAATTACCGAGCGTAGGACAGAGGGACCCAACCTTCCGACGACTCCTGCGGCTTCGCGGTACTGTCTTCCCTCGGAAAGAAGCATCAGGCGGCGTAGAACCTGCCTCGGGCTAGTGAGGAACTCGCGTCCATCCCGCGAGGGGCCACGAATGCGTTCCCTGCTGTCTGCCATTGGACCGGCAGAGAGAGACAAGGCCGGAGACTTGAGAGGCAGATGAGACTGCAGGACAGCTTCCTGGTGGTTCTTCAGCAGGAGCTGTTTTCTGTGCGTACTGTCAGTAACTCTCTCTGTGATCGAGGCTTATGGGTTAATGGAATGTGGTTTGTACAGATGCAGATGCCGATGCGAAGGCAAAGCCTGAGATGCAGATGCAGATACAGATGCGATGCGAGAGCGGTGGGACTGCTTACAGCATGTTGGGAGTCGGATCCATGGGCAAAGGCAGTTGGACAACTCCGGGCTCCGTTCGTTGGTGTTCGGTGTATGTCTTCGTGTGTATGTCTTGCTGAAAAGCAAGGCACAATGCCGCAATTATTTATTAACGAATAGGAAAACCTCTGCGGCAAGAATACACGCAAAAACAACTGGCACTTTCTCCGCTGAACTGGACTGGGGATGAGGCAGGGCACATAATTTATCATAAGTTAAGATGCCACGCATAACCACGTTCAAGAAAAACAACTCCCGAGTATTGGCAATTGTCGAGGAAGCAGCACAATCCCAAAGAGCTGACAGCTATGTGGGAGTTTCCATTTCAAATATGACAACTAGGAAAACACTGACAGGTCCCAGGGAAGGCCACTTTCCTCAAGGCAACGCCGCGTATTCGAGCAACCTCTTAGGAAAATACCTTTCATAGTGCCCTTTGGCAGACGATACCAGACAATGAATCCAAACTAAATCATGTTGAAATTATATCAGGTGAAGCTAAAAAAAATTCAAGTGTGTATGTTGGAACATACTTTGGGCAACTGCATGTTTACTTTTACTGCTATTGCCTCCTCTTCTTTTCACTCTATCCACCTCACTCCACTGCATTTGGGTACAGTCGTTTACATGGGGAATCGGACACACCGGACCGCTAGAGCGGTGGAGCCGAACAGCAGAGAAAATGTTTGGCTTCTCAAAAACTTAAAATTTTATACCTTACCACCAACTCCCTGGAAAGCAGCCAACCACAAAAGCAAGTGAGTGAGTAAGTTAAAAGTGGCTGGGCAGTGGAGGTGACAGTGACCCACCCAAAGAGTTCAGACAACGTGCATTACCGGCTTAACGGACAGGTAGACGCCTTTATTGAAGGCCAGTCTGGGACAGACCGGTGGAGAGCGGGGGAACCCTTGTTTCGGCATTGTTCCAAGTGCGCTTTGGCAATACTTTCCGTTATAGGAGCAGAGGTGTGCCAGCCTCGGAAAGAATGTTCCAAGGTTCGACTTGGGTCTTTCAATGGGCGTGGTCCCAGCTGCTGGCCTATTGCGTGGGAAAAAGATCGCCCAGTGGGTAGCCGATAGCTGTTAATGGATACGTGTGGCTAAAATAGCGGGAAGGATCAGATCAGATCAGTTGGCAATTTTTCCCACAGCATTCAAAGTGCGGAGTCTGGGAGATATACGCAAGCTGCAAGATATCGCTGAGATCATGCCCGGGGACGGATAGAACCGAGATATGACCGGCACAAAGTGCAGGTAACAGCAGCAAACAAACAGACCTCTGGGTTGCGGTTACTGCTAGAAAGAAAAACATGAAGAAGGGCTACGAGATTACAAGACGATTATGACTACACGGGCGACAATAGAAACGTGGCCATGACACCCGGGATGCGCTTCGCTGGCTTAACTGAGAGAGTGTGGGGGAGAGGAACAGTGGGGGAAGAATAGTGTAGAGTCGGTTATGTAAGCTTGCACAAACCGGAGACAGCTGGTGACAAATGAAAGAGCTGAGAACGGAAGCTCCATATGTGTTTGTGCTGTGTGTTGGTGTGTATGAACCACAACAGCACTAAAGTGTATCTGTACCTACATCTACGTATCTTTAGCTGTGGCTTTTAGTTACACTCTGTGTCTCAGTCCACAATGGTTTAATGAACCCTGCCAACAAACAGCAGCGAAAACATATAAATGTGGATATGTGAAATGATTTTTTGCCGGCCAGAGACAAACATAACTTCTTTCTCTCATTCTTTATTATTGTTATTACAAGAATTTTGTATAAAGTGGCTGTGAATGTGGGTGTTTTGGCTGGTCTTTGATAGTTGTAGTTTCGCAGGTTAACAAACTTCTAAGTGCCCCAACTGGGTGCCTTGCATGCTGTCGAGAGATTCTCTTATTCGTTTTAGCTTTTTGTGAGTTCCCCTGATTTCTGTGGTTGTCATAATGGTATCCATAACGAGGCCTAGCTGGATATGGAGCTGCCGTGCGGCTGCCATTCAGATTTAATTACGATTAGTTAGCTGTCTGCCATCCGTGGCATGATGGGCCACAGTGTCTTGTCTTCTCGTAGTCCAGACACCTGTTGCGATTAGCTCTCTGGCGGCGAGAACTGCCAAAAAAAAGGGGGGCAAAAGTAAGGCAAGTGATTCTCTGCAGAGTCGTTAATCAAAAAGAGCACTCTAATCAACTCTAGAACCGAAATGACCCCAAAACCAAGCTGAGACTATGCGGCATAGATTCATTGTCGTAAGACAAACGCACAAATTGTGCGTACAACTTCGTTGTTGTAGAGCTTCGGATTTTGGAAACCGTCTAACAGTTCCAATACAATATATACAAGATGAAGAATGGCCCTCTTTTATTTCCAATGTTTCAATGGAGAAATTAGCATATCCACGCTTTATTGATTGATTCTACCATAAAGCATAAATGGTCTAGAGCCTCATACACAGGCCCCGGGAGGTATTGCTTCGCACTAGGCCCAGCCCCAAGCAGCGGCTAACCTACTTACCCAAGATTCCAAGTCAAAGTTGGAGTTTGGGCTTGGGCTTGGGCTTGGACTTCGACTTGGACTTGCCTCAGCCCAATCAAAGTTTAACAGCGCACAAAACAATCTTATTCATATTAACTTTTTTGTTTTTTGTTTTTTGTTTCTTGCGGCCAGCACCTTCATTCTGATGGGAAGAAGACAAAGCCGAATTTGGGTTAATATCATTCATTCAATTAGAATAGAAACAGAGCTGGCCAAGTAGGGAATACATCTTTTTTATGGTCAGCGCAAGTTGCGCCGCTAATTGGAGTCGCCTGTCGCCTGGGAAAGATTCGTGTGGCCAGCAAGCAACTTAATCTGCATAAATTAATGCAAGCCCAAACCCCGACTAAGCAGATATAATGCGAGACTAAGGAAAGTGTCTATGTAATTATGCTTGAGTTCCGACTCGATTTGCCTGGGTACTCGTACAGCCACATGGTACATGGTATGTATGTAGATATTTTATAATATTTTTATTATGGAATGAAAGAGTCTTACTTATGGAAAGTTCTTGTCCATAAAAAAATAGGAAGCGAAATGCTTCGAAGAATCCTGAGCTAATGTACATATTGGTATACGTGAATCATTTTGGAGCCCTTAATTATCTTTCTTCGTGGAATTTTCAAATCTAACCGATTAGCATTCTTGTTATCAGGTGAAAATATGCATTAAAAGTAAAATGAAGTGTTCCAGATAGATTTTTTCTTCTCCAAACCAAACGTAATGTTTTCGTGCCACTTACATGTATTTGTACTGCGGTGATTGTGGGTAAGTGTGCCACTAATCCGAGCCGCGATCCCCAGGAGGTTAGCTGGGTCTTCTCTCTTGACACCAGTCAGCGTCACAGCTGCTGCTTTCCTCGGTTGCTGCGGTTGCTATGCAATTTTCACTTTGGAGCCGAAAGGGTCAAAGTCAGCTTGTACTCGTAGAGTGCAACCACAAATCAAAGCTTTGACGGAGCCTTTGTGCTCCTGCTGTCTGTTTCCACTCGGCAACGACAACAGCTACAGCATTGAAAACACAAATTTTTCACTTCATTAGGTTTTCCAACATTAGTGTGGCAAATGCCACGGTAAATTATTCGGGGACCCGCCGAAGTTGTCCCACTCTTACATTCACAAAGCGCGGTAAACCGTTTCGCTGGCTCTACAGCACGCGCCTAAAGGAAAGAGCACAGCGCCAACAAATACAGCCGAAAAAATCTCTCACTATGCGCGTGGAGCGAAGCACAACCGATCGAGGCGAAATACTGAACGCGAATGTCATGACCAAAGAAGCAGCAACACGTCAAGCAGATAAAAGAGAGCAGCAGCGCAGGCGCGCAAGACAAGCTCGGCTCCATTCCAGAGAGAAGCAGTTGTGCAGCCGCCAGCGTTGAGATTGGCAGCAGAAGCAGCTGCTGTTGTCTTCTTTCCCCCTTTTGGCCAATTCGAATGGTGCGCGCCCAAATCGAGACAACTAATACTATTGGCCGTTATTTGTTGGTTTTTCGACGAGTTTTCCCATTCCGCGCTTCGGGCGGAAAGTGCAAGCCGCTGCAGCAGCTGCGCTGCCATTTACCGATTGTTACTTTAATTGCAATAATGGGGGACTCTGCGGGGGGTCATGCACTCGCCAATCTCCTCCAGCTCATCTTTGGATTCAGCTTCGTCTTTGAGTCGAGGAATTTGGGTTAGTGTGTGCGGTTTTGGCAGAGATTGTTCAATCAGCAGCAAGTGGTGGAAAGAGCTTTCTATCCGTTCTGGGTCCAAGTTGATTTCCAGATGGTTCAACTTCAATATATTCGAGAATTTCCAGTCCATCCAGTGGATTATGTATATACACGCGCATATGTGAATGATGCAACTGTGAGAAAGGCCTTTGCTTGGCTTTGGTGGGCTGCACTTTCAGCCAATTAGTCTTAATTACCCCTGTTAGAGGCGGCTTAATTTCACTGCCTGAAAACGGTGAAAAATGTTAGCCCGCTCTGCACGGAGTGCCAGACAAAGGCTGGCGAGTGTTGACTCCCATATGCCGGTAAAGAATGGACCGAGATCCGAGATTGGAGGCCACTGATTGAGTCTCATTGCCAGTCACTGGCCGAAAGATTCAGCCTCGAGCCAAATGGTCTGCATACTCCAACGAGCCATACGTCTGGAAAATCCGAAAATTGCGCCACCTTCACGTGTTGCTCACATCGCGTTGATCGTCTAGCGCAATTGGAAGACACTCCACAAGCCTTAACCAAAGCGAAGCAATTAACGGTCTACTGGGGGAAAAGTGTAAGCTCAGAGGAGAGGGGGGCGGGGATCAGGCCCATTTATTTGCGCCAGGTCTGTAGTGGATGCCACAACTACTACTACTTCTGCGGCATTTGCATTTATGCGGCTTAACAGGGCGTTAAGTTTGCGACATGGCTATAAAAATACATCTCTATGGAGACGTGTACTTTTCTTCAGTAATCCGAGCGAGCAAAGTACCTTAAATAAGGTGTTAATAAGTCAAGGTTGCCAGTAATGGTCCGACAGATAAGTATCTATATACCGGTATAGATCTGGTAGATCCCCTGATCCCCTTTCCTTTCTAAACGCATTTCACTTTTCGCCAACGCAGCCACTACTGGGAAAGAGCCCCACGACAGGTGTGCAAATATTTGCGAGAAATTGTAAAATGGATAGAAAAATAGTATGTCTAGGAAAAGCAGACAAGACACTTTTTGTGGGTCTGCTGTGCGCTGTGCATTGGGAAACCGCTTACCAAATCCAGTAATTAACTCTTTGATTTACTAAACGCATCCAATGGTCGGTTCCCCGCTTGTGTCTTGTTGGCTGCTCCGACCACACTTTATGTGCCTGTGCGAATGTCTCCAATTTGATTTTACTGTTTTCATTTCGAGTGTTTGCGAGCTACGAGCGCCTGCGCACTTTTTGCCGACTTGACTTAGTTAGTGACTAAGACCACGACATCTCAGTGGCTCGCAGCTCTGAGGCAACTGCAGCTGAAAATGCTTTTACTGGAAGTTTCCCCCACAGCGACATCTGTCAATCCTGCCGATTGGCGATTTCTCTTTCAATGGAAAAATGTGGCAATAATCATAAAATTTTAACACAAATATTGAGTAGAGTAATTATCAGTGCCAGTAGAAGTACAAGCCAATGAGACTTTGCTCCCAAGTGAGTTGCGGATGACGAGGGATTTCAGTGAGAGGCGATGGTTTGGCTTGGACTGATCGGCTGGCCATGACAAGCACCACAAGTTGGTCAATGTCCAATAGGGAAACCCGCGAGCTCAATCGAGCTCCTTGCATGGCCCTCTTCCGATGCCCCTACTCACGTTGGGCTTTACTCCCACTATCACTCAATCTACTGATTATCATGGGCTGCACTCGTAATCCTCTTGAATTTCTTTACCAGTAGTTAAGTGCACGAATCTGTTAGATAAAAATCAGAGGAATCGGTGCAGGCACACGATACTCGTACAGATACAAAACATTTTCCGTTGCTGGCCCCCTTTGTTGGCAGCCCTTTGAATTGATTAAAGCCTGATGTTAATTGTATTTTCCATTGTGGATCATCCGATTCACTCTCTCACGGCCAGCTTCCGCTGTAAAATCAGTCGTAAAAATAATTCAATTTCAAGCTGCATTACCTTCCGATACCGTCCACGGCTGATACTTGATGTTAAGCGTTCTGATATAAGTCACTCTACAGAAGTGAGCATGCAAAGAGCTACAGTTTGCCGCGAATTATTACCAACATTAGCCATCAAATCAATAGTTGGCCAGCGAGGGAGAAATCTCAAATCTCCCCAGTTCCAGTGCCGATCCAGTACCGGTTCCCCAACGTCTGTGGCACATCATCTGGCTGATATGCTGCTACTCCTTGACAGGCCGTCGTGGCCAGCCGTTTGACAACAACTTTCACAAACTTATACCCGCTACCCAAAATGCTTCCAAGTGGCCATCGCCCAGTCAGCCTCCGCTTCGATTGCTGCTCGATCGCAATTCTTATTACAGAATCAAGTGCAACTTTTGCTCTCGCTTCGCTTTCACTCTCTCTCTCTCTCTCTCTCTCTCTGAGTCAGTGAACTGCCGCATGCAGCATGCTGTATAGGTACGAGGTAGGCGGCACCTGGGTTGCACCGTCGGTTGACAGTAAAAGTAACTTGGAAAAGTGAACGCAATCGAAGTCGACCCACTTCTTGAGACTGCATAAGACATCGCTCGATCGTATCTCCGTCGTCGGATGCTCTTCTCTAGCTTGGTCCCAGATGAGGTTGGTGGAGCGTGGTTCACACATTTTGGGAAATTTGTAGAGAAAAGTGGGTGGCCCACAGCCAGCAGCGAGCGTAGACTGCCGCTTGCCTGGTGCCGGGTGTCAGTAGTAGAATCCGAAGTGGAGCCGAAAACGTGTCTGGGCAAAGCTACACGCAGAAAGGCAAAGTCGATAGGACGGACCTAGCCCGGGCTCAAACGAGCAATTTGCGTGACTTAATGGAGCATACAAAAAAGACGGGCCAGGTCTGGCTTGGCGTCTCTAGCTTTATCACGCATCTACTGGGCAGAATATGGCTTAATTGCGTACAATGAAATTCAATGAAAGTAAGCTGGACTTACCCGAAATAAACCGGTGTGTGTGGAGGGGAGGAAGTTTAGCCGCAAAAAATAGCCAGAATTTCCAGCCAGACAAGCAGGGCCAGCGCTCCTTTGATCCTTTTTCGGAAGTCCGCAAATAATGCAATTCGCTTTTCTCTTTTCACTTTTAACTTGTATCTTCAACTTTAACTTTGACTTATGGAAGAGTGAGGCAAGTGATAGATAAACCTGACTGACATGGCTCCTTTTATCTTTGACCCATTTTAATTTGAATTTATCAAACTATCAACCACTATAGCGTTGAAATTCGGATATATTTATGTATATATGTAGGGATATACAGCTAGCCAGCTTTCGGATAGCTGGTATCCTTAACAGATATTGTATTATTAATTTCTGAATAAGAGTAGTTGAAAACAAGCTTAAGTGCAATTCGGTTAATTAGCATATATTTTTGTATGACTATAATGCATTCAATTAACTCCAGTATGGGTTTTAATAATACCAAAGAACATAGACGTAGAGTAGGACCAGCACGAAGAGCAGATGGATAAGAAACAGCTCAATGGCCAAGGTAAAGAGCGCCACTGGGTTGACAGCCATGTAAGTGATCAAGACAAACATTTCGTAGCGTAGAGTTAATAACAAATCTTTGGATTGAAGCGTGCCTACTCCTGCACCGTGAAAGTCAACTGCTTGCTGCGAGAGCTCTCGAATCGGTTTGGGGTATGCATGCTGAGCATGGCGGAGATCCCCAGGCCTAGGATGCCGAGCAGGAGGGTGACTACGAAGAGACCCGACAGGATAGGGGCCGAGATGAATCCAACGCAATCGTAGACCTCGCCGAACTCCTTACGCCCGTTCAGCCATGGCTGCACCTGGAAGTCGGACACAATAAGGCTCTGCAGAGTCTCGTTTTTGTTGGGGTTATTAAAGCTCAAGTCGTTGGCGGAGCATCGATAGGAGAAGCCCAGCGGGGCCGAGGGCAGAGTGTAATCGTCGCCTCGTGCCAGGAGTACGCTCTTCAGTTCCCTGTACTCCACCTCAACGTTTCGCAGGATCCATGTGCCACGCGCCAATGAGAACTTGAAGCGGAGCGTGCACTTCTCGCCGCTGTGCATAAAGGTAATGCTGAGCCGACCGTAGCCCTTAGCGTGCTGATCGTCGAAGGTGATCTGCTTTATGTGCTCCTCCAGGCGCAATGTCTCGTTGGTAAGCCGCAGCTCGGGGGGACCGTTCAGGGAAAGAACCGCCTTGTTTCCTTCTGCCACGTAAATGAAGCTTGCCTCTGTCTCCTCGGCAACGTCAGCAGGAGGTCCCTCAGCCGTTTTTTTGGGTTCTTCCTCGGTGGTTTCACGTTTGGCGAGGAAATGTGCCTCCTCCTCGCGACTGGCTAAGATTCCCAGAACCTCACCATTCCCGTAGATCCGTAGAGCGTCATTGTAGGCCGTCACAATCTCAGCGTCGTCCTCTTCCCCGTGCCCAGATAAGCTTATGACCTGCACGACAAATTTAGGGGTTGACAACCAGTAGTATTTATGAGCTCTTTTTCTTAGTATACACACCTCAATGTTGGCATTGTACCCGAAGGGCTCGGCTATCAGCCTGCGCTCTGGTAAATAGGTCCAGGTGCCACTCTTCACCAGATTCTGGAACTTGGGGTACTTTATGCCCTCCAGACGACTGGTCGTGTTCCTCACGAAAACTACAACAGCCTTGGCCTCCCGAAACAGTTGCGTCAGTGGCTGCTCCCTGCTACTGGCCTCAACTAGCGCCTGAGCTTGCAAGCTGGACACCTTGTGGTGACCCCAGAAGAGGAAGGGTCCGCTGATGGTCGCACCGCAACTGTAAACCAGGCCCAGCAATATCCCAACGAGAATTAGCCGCATTTTGTATAGCTCTGGATATGATTATTCACCGAAATCACTGACACCTCTGACTGACTGCCTGTCCTTCGCTGAAAGAGGAAAGTATGTACGCGAAAAATCGATTTCGTTCCACGCATGCGCAGAGAATATGAAAATGAAAAGGCGGGTGGTTTCCAAATCGTGGTCGAGAGCTGAAAAGTGAAAATGTTATTTGACAACCTGTTGCTTGAAGGATTCCATCTTTACTTCCAATTTAAGTTAAGTACAATCTAATCTAATAATTAGGGAATCTAATAATTAGGCTGATGACTACGATGGCTAATACAAAAGGCTTTGGTTCAATTGTTGAAAAACTAGAAGACGAGAATCGGCCCTTGAAGGTCTTGGTGCCTATGGGGATGTATGGAAAATTAAATTCCAGATATTTTAGGTTTCACGTTTGATTTACTCACGCTTTTCATTTGTGTCCCTCACACCGCAGGTACGATAGGAGATAGTCGGCTTGCGCTTTTGGTTCACGTAGCCGGGAATGAATAAACTGGGGGCATCCAGTCGGCCAGCGGCTATAAGACGCGACATGTCCATCTCCAGCCGGTGTGCGAGCGGGCCCTTAAAGTGGATGATCATCTGGATGCAGGCGCCGCCATGCAGCTCCTTCGTCTTTCGAGCATCCACGTCCAACATCCACTCAGGGATACCCATCACAGAGCGCAGCTCCTCTAGGAATTGTGCCCTATCGATAAAGATATCCATTCATATTAAAGTAAGGCCGCTTGAGGTAGAATCTTACTTACACCACAAAGCGCGGTGGCTTCTGCAAATTGATATACTTGATGACGTTGTGGTCGGGCTCGATATTGGCACAGGCGAATCGTTCATGTGAATGATCAGGTCCAAAGATGACAATTGAGCGTCCAATCGCACCCACTGGCGCCTCCAGCGGGAAGTTTGAGTCAGTAAACACCACGCGCTCCCCACCCAAATCTGAAACGCATTCGAGTGAGCATCGAAGAAAGGCGATTACCCTGATTACTCACCTATTGTACCCATGCGGGCCCCTACATCGCCCACATAGCATCGAAGGGGATTGTCCGGCGCACATTCCTGTTCGTAGAGATCGAGCTGCAAGCAAAGACCATCAAAAATAGGGATCTATGGAACGCTAGAAAACTCACATTCAGTGGATCTGCCAGCTGCGTGTAATACGGATTCCACACATACCCTCCGGCCACACAGCGTGTGCTGGTTGGCTTGACGGCGGCGTCCACTCCCACGGGGTTGACGAATATCTGCCAGTTGTGGTTGCGAGTGGAGTTCCGATCGTTCTTGCCGGGGTGCCGCAACTTAACCTCAATCACCGTCTCCGACTGGCTGCCGTCGTTGTGGATTAGCTGCGTCATCTTGACGTAGCCGTAGGCGTAGCCGGTGGGATGGTGAAACGATGCGATGGCTCGTAGTTCTCGCGCCTCGCTTGGACTGTAGCCTCGCTCTAAAGTGCTGTAAGAATCGGTTTTAGCTCAATAAATAGAAGACTCTATTCCACTGTTATAACCTGCAGGCCCAGCGGGCATTCCTCTGCTGCTTGTGAATGACTACAGATCGTCCGATTATACTGTTGTATCCAAAGAGCGGCAGGTTCGTATCGTTGTACGAATCCTCGTACTGGGTGAGTCCGTTGAGGCCGCCAAACTTTCCGCTCAAATCACCCAACTCGTATTGATCGCTGGTGCCCCGTCTAGGAGGAGGCGAGGACTTGGGATTCACCTCGATAGGATTCCAGTGGCCATAGAGGGTTGAAGCCTCGCATGGAAAAGCCAGATTAGCCTCAACGGGAGTCTGTCGATTATCAACGATTAGTGGACGAATCCTCTTCTCTGAACACGAATATTACTTTGTGGATGTGATAGCCGCCATTGTCCTGCAGGCCCTTGAGTTGCACCTCCACATTGCTGACATCGTACTCCGACTGCTGCGTGATCTCTACCCTTCCACTCACTGTCAGCTCATCGCCGTTGGCGTACCACTCCTTAGCCACCACCTTTCTCCGGTAGTGTGCGATCACGGCGGAACACGCAAGCCTCTCCCCCCTGGCCTTTGGCCCGTTGTCCTCGTAGATGACCAGCGACTTGCCCAGAATGCTGTGTCTTCCCGATAGCGGCAGATTCCCATCGACAAACATGCGCCGGCTAAGCTTCTGTGCTGCTCGCCTCCTTCCAGCAATGGTCAACCTTCCCAGCCTCACGTCCAGGGCTCCCATTCGACACATGGCAGGCAGCTGGGGCTTACAGAAGTCGTCAGCGCTGCGGTTTCCCCAGTACACTTTGAAAGGATTGTGGATGCCACCGGCCGAGAGGCAACGCTGCTGCCAGTCATAAAAGTCTTTACCTGGGGCACTACTGTGGATGGCCCAGCGATGGTCGAATGTGGTGTTCTGTGTGGACCCGTCCGCCTGGATGAGATACTCAAATAACACGGTAGTGTCCTGCCAAGGTTGTTCGGTGGGCTGTCGGAAGATAACTCGTCCCACCACCGGATAGCGGAACAGGACCTGTCATAGTACAAGTAAGATGTTAGATGGCATGCATATAGTATGTATGTAGAAAATCCAATTCCAGTTCCTCCACGCACCTGAGCTGTGAACATCGGCTGCTGGTATACTCCGTTCTGCAAGTACTGGCTGAGAGTGGCGCAGCCCCAGATGTTCTTAGTGATGTTCTGCACATCCGTGCGGTTGAATGTGTAAATCACCAGACTCCTTTGGGCTATGCTATGGTGGCCCTGGAGCGGTAGGAAGACGTCCCAGTAGAGGCCGCTCAGCTCGGAGCTGGTTCCGGGCAGCACGTACTGATGCCAATATGCCTTGTTGCGGCCCTGTAGCTTTCCTGAGAGGTCTCCAACTGCATACTGCTCCTGTGTGCCGTAGCCAGGAGGTGGCACATTTTTCTGGAGGCCGCGGGGGTTGTGCATGTCCCCAGTGGTCAGGCAAAAGTCCTCCCTGCCAATGCGCTGTGGGACGGGAGGCATGCTGTGAAGGCGGAAGGCGGCCACATCTTCGGCAAACTTGCGGCTGACATGCTGCGACAAAGGTGCACCCAAGGTGAAGTTCAGGAATGTGGGATCGAATTTCCATCGTTGAGCGAATGTCACCTCCCCCTTGACACCTCCCGAGTTTATGAAGGTCCTGCAGAAAAACGGATAATCATTATTCGGTTGTTTCCTGAAACTTTTCTGATTAAATATATATATATATATATATATAAAATAAAAATATATATATAAAAATAAATAATATATATATATATATATATTTTATTTGTTTTGGGTTTCGTGGATCAGATGTTCCATGATGCAAAACGAAATCAAATTCAAATCGAACCAAGGACTTATTATGGTGCTTATTTAAATAGTTTCCTTTCACCTGACTTACTTGTAAATAAGTGGCTGCACATGCCGAATTTTTGTGCATGCCAGATAGGTGTCCGGGTGTTGATTATCAAAGAGAACAAGGTAGAGCGTGCGGTGGGGGATCGTAAGGTCAGAGGGCAGCAGAGCAAGTTGGGCATCGCGAAAGACGCTGCGCTTGGGTGTCTTCAAAGCATTGTTGGCCACTCCAATCCGTCCTAGGCGCATGTCCAGGTCACCTATGCCCTGACCGGGCCCACTTCCCTGTGGGTCAAACACGAGCTCCAGAAAGTTGCAGTTGTCCTCGGTGCGGTGGTGGTCGTGCTTGAAGATGTCCGTCACAAAGATCTTCCAGTGGTGCTGGGTGAAGGACCGCTTATCACTGTCCTCTAAGCCCACTGGCTGCTCCTTGATGTGGTACAAGTCAGAGTAAATCAATGTGTCACCACCAGCGCCCTCAGCCGGGGCCAGCCATCGAAAGTGGACTGACCCCGCCACGGGAGTGTTGAATCGTGCCTCGGCCATGTGTTCTACGGAGTTCTGGATAGTGGTGATGGTGGCACAGATACGCGCATCCTCGCCCACCTCCGTGAGAACCAGTGACTTGCCCCAGATCCCGCAATCGCCGATTAGCTGCATCTTCCGCTGCCATGTCGAAGTCTCGTTTCCGGGCAACACCAGGTACTCCAGATCCTCGTCGAAGCTCAGCACCTGCGATCCCAAGCGATCGAGCTTGCAGCGCTCCTCGGGATCAATGATCGAGTAGTCCACCGGAAACCGACGCACGGACCAGCTCCAAACCTGATCTGGGTATTGGAGTGTGGCCTCCAGGCTCGCCTTAATCTCCACCGTCGTGGCGTTCATCTGCCGGAACGTGATTTCCCCGTGCAGACCCCGCTGCGAGATGTACGCAATCAGATGTTGCGCATCGGCTGTTTACGAAGCAGAGGGTGGAGAGTAAGTCCGAGAATGTGGTGAAAAGACAAAGATGTGGCTCAAGCTACTTTCGATTTCTTCTCACGACAGCGGGAACGAAAAATGCGACTCCACTACGATATGTGTATGTAATGGGAGGGGAATAGCCTGGGAACATGCCAATCGCTGTCTCCATCTGGAGTACTTACCGACCCTAGATGATGCAATCCAGCAAAGGACTATGGCGCATAGCAATGCCCTGGTCGCTTTCAATTGGGGGTCTACGGCCATTTCTCCTTCCAGGGCCCCAAAAAAGTATTATTTTGATAGATTTGCAGTCGTTGCAGACTTTCACATTGTAGTGCGCGTGCGTGCGCTCGAGGGAAAGCAGCCCACGTCGAAACTCAACTGAAAACTGGTCGAGCAAAGGCCCAATCCACAGCCAGCCAATTCCAAGTGGCCAAGTGAGTGAGGTGAGTTTCTTGCTTGGCTTTGTTTGCTCATTCGCTTTGCGCGCCTGGTTTAGCTGCGGTTTTGTTTTGCCCTGTACGCTGGTAACTTGTTTCCGGCATGCATGGCCCTCGCTTAGCTTACTCAGTTCTCGACGAGTTAACCATTTTTCCCCCTAAAACCCCCTCCTGTGCGTTCCCATCCGTAAAACTCAAATGCAGTTGTTGGTTTGTTTTCCAAGACGACTCGCCTTTTCTTTATTCAAAGACTTTGCCATCAGTATCATCATCATCGATAAGTATGTTGTATAAAAACAGATTATTTTTTTTGGTAATATTTCTGACCGGGTTAAAAAAGTTTTCAGAATTTTCTCTTGCCATATAACTTAATTTATACTGAAGTAAAGATTCGATTCGCATTCGCATTTAACAACTTGTTGCATATTGAATTGGTTTGGTGTGTGTTGAGTGTATTAAGTACATAGTATAAAGTGATGCTTCTTCTCTTCCTTCGATCAGCCTAGGTACTAATGGTTGTATGTACTGTGATTGAATACGACAAACTTCCAGATCCGCGTCTTGCTTTCCCCATTGCCCCTGCACACCATCCATGCCATTAGGCCGTTAATGGGGGAAAAGTGAAGATTAATCTTCATAGACAAAGATCTAGCTTCCGCCAGATACTCGTACTTTTGAAACGCATTAGCTAGAAACACTTTTTTGATCGTTTTCTTCATATTTCATATTTTTTATATCATATATCATATTTGGTTTTTGTTTTGGTAATAACGCTGATAGTTCATAAGCAGAAAGTTGTGGTCGGTTAAGTTATGTAAATTCGCATAAAACAATTTGAGTGAATGAACTTTATGTTTCCTTTGTTATTAAGCCTAACTCTCGATAACTTGCAATATTGATAATTTGAATATGTATTCACAATTCATAACTCATAATAATTGATATTGAAAAATGAAACTGAGTAACGAACGTTAGATAGATATGTATAACAATATTTTGTGTTTATAGAAGATAAATAATTGGCTCTCAGATAAATGTCCCTAACAATAGTTGGTTTGCCTCTCTCTCTCCTTTTCCTGCGAGAATCAATAACGAGAAACAACAAAATTCGAACAAAAAACTCTGTGGGTCGTCTAGGCCTAACGAATCCATCCTTGCTACCCACTGACCATAACTAGTTCATCGTCACTTTCATCTTCATCTTTCTGATGTTGGTTCTTCAACGAACAGCGATTAAAATAAACATTGCTTGGTTTTTTTTTGTTTTTAAGTTTTTTTGTTGATTTTATACGTGTTTTAAATAAAATAGTTTGCATTTGTTTTATAAATTTTACGTGTAAAATTTAACAGTAAATCAACTAGAAAACTAGCCGTCAAGTTGGTGCTTTGACATTGATCGTATGAGAGTATCCCTAAATAATGATACATGGTAAATGACTAAGATTTTTTCTGTTCTTGTTCTTATTTTTGATCGCTACCAAGGTGTTGTTGAAGAAGTTTTGAGTGTTGTTGAATGGTAACAAAAAGAGATTATATAGATATTGAGAATTTACATATGTAAAACGAGCATTTCTTTTAATTACGTTTATTGTTTTTGACTGATTGATTTAAAAGTTTTGTTGGTTGTAATATGGATGCTGAGTTAGAAGTTAGGATGTGTGTGGGGATGCCTGATGCTTCAGCTACTGCTTAGGCGGCCTCCTCCTCCTCTTCTTCACCCTTGCCGGTGAGCATTTCGATCAGGGCGCCGGTATCGATCTGGTTCTTGTCATCAATGACCATCTGATCGTAGGCATCATCGACCTCCTTCATGGTGAACTTGTCACCGAAGTTCATGAGCATTTCGCGGAATTTATCACCGTCGATGAGACCATCGTTATCGAATGTTTTGAAGGCAGCAATAACAACATCGTCTTCATCGTTGGCACCGGCAGAGGCCATACGGTTGGCGAACAGGGTCAGCAATTGGGTGAAGTTAATCGGACCCGAGGCTTCGCTCAGCATAGCGTCCAACTCCTTGTCGTTGGCGATCTTGCCAACGGAGTCGAAGGCAGCGCGCAGATCGTTCTTGCCAATAATACCGTCCTTGTCGGCATCCATTAGTTGGAAGGCCTAATCAGCGCAGCACGCACGGATTCGGAAAGAGAGAGAGCGAGAAAGAGACAGAGAGAGAGAGTGGGTTGGTGATTTGGTCATTGACTTGTGCGATAGATATGTATATGGCATAGGGATAGGGATGGGATGGGATGTGGTTGGGGTTGGTGGATGTGGGTGTAGATATGGGGAATAGTTAGGCCATGGCCAACTCACCTCCTTGAACTCGGCAATCTGCTTCTGGGAGAAGACAGAGAAGACCGAGGAGCCAGCGCGCTTCGACTTCCTGGAGCCACGAGAGCCGCCTGACGCTCTCTTCGATCCAGTGGCAGAAGCAGCCGGGGCAGGAGTGGCAACTGGTGCGGGGGTTGCTGCCTCAGATGCGGCTTCAGAAGCGGTTTCAGAAGTTCCTCCCTCTTCCTTGGTCTTCTTCTTCTTAACCTTCTTCTTCTCATCGGCCTACATAAAGAAAGAGATATCATCAGTATCGTCGTATCGTGGAATCAAAATTCGATTCTCAGGAGTCAGGAGTCAACGGGCAAGTCAGGAGTCAACAGGCAACTGTGAAAAATCAAAAAGGTTCAGGCAGGAAGTTCCAATCCATTTGCTTTCGTTTCGAAAATATGCTCGGGAGAAAATTTTCCACTGTATGGCCCCCTGTCTAAAAATATCCGGACCATTGTTACGTAAGTGCTGCCGTATAGCACTTGCCATCTCACTCCCTCCACGATACGGATATCAAATTACATTACTGACGCATAGCACTTGGATCCATTTATAGAACTGTTCACGATCGCCTTCGTATGCGTAGGAATGGCATATCCGAAGCCAAGGACCTTACACACTTTTGCTTTGGGTTCATAGATCAAATCCACATGCACAGACAGTTAATGGCGAGTTATTTAGGGTAACCACGATAGTAGCCGTACGGAATTACGTTGGAGATCACTTCATATTCGAATAAATTGACTTTATATGTATGATATATCCTCTTTCGGATGCAACTAAATCACTGCACAAGTCCTTGCTGCCTATATCCATGCACGTAAGTTCTTAAGTTCAGATGAGTTCCGTTCAGTCCAGTTCAGTTAGTTTGGTGTATATCCCGATCCTTACCATGGTGCTGAACTTTGATGTGGCTGTCTAAACGAGTTGAGCGGTCAGAGCACACTGAATCTCTGGCTGATTTTATCGCCAAGACAATGATGTTTTAAGTTCTTTTTCGCGTGCTTCTTTTACCCACCAGGGAACCACACAGACACTCACAAAGATACGCCCGGTGGTTCGTTGGTTCGCGTTCGGCATCTTTCGGTCCCACTCGGGCCGCCTTCGCTGTATCTGTATCTGCCATATTCGTGCTGCCTTTTTTAGTATCTGCAAGGCTAGGTCCGCCCAGGCGATCGGCGGGGTGGCTGGGGCCATATCTATATCTACATAGCCAAAGAGCTATAGCTATATGCGAGTTGTTTACTCATCAGGCGCTGCTCTAATCAAAAATCTAATTATAACGGCAGAGAAAATGCTTTTCTGTAGGCTTTTACCTATGTGTACATGTGTATGTTCAGAATTTATTTCGGTGCGGTTCGAAATGATTTTCGTGCTTTCGTGGTTCGGTTTCTGCATTTGCCTACTCTTCGTTGTAGATACATTTCCCCCTGATGTTCACATTTTGTTTTGTTTCATCTTGTTTTGTTTTACTCATCTTTGCTCTTGAGGCCACCGCCGAAAGGTGTCCTCTTGCGCTGAAATCACCTACATTCCCATGGCAGCACACATTCAAGCAAACATACACACAAATCAAGCATCTACAGCCCGTAAATACATACATATATATGTACATGTTCTATGTGTATATAGTATATACTCGATTTAATGTTTTACCTTGCCTATTTCTACACTCGGCATTTTCCCGTTTCTTTTTCGTTTCTTCAGTGCCCCGAGCATTGTGCAATACGAAGAGCTGAGAGAATTCCAAATCTATCTATATGTACACAGATCGTACGGATTTCGTATCGCATAAATATCCAACGAACCCGATATTTGGCCAGAGTTATTTCGGCAACAAATGTGGAATAAACATCTGAACTTATCTATATCCGCGTCATTCATGATCATTGCATAACATTCGAAAAATAAGTTATCAATTTTTCCCTTTTTTTTATGTAGTCAGCTGGTCTTTATAACTGAATGGAATGATTCCCTAGACACACATATAAACACATACATATATAAACATTAGATCATGCAATAGATCATGCTTTTCAGTTAAGATTGTTTTGTGTTCCGAATTATAAGACAGCTTGACAAAAAATTTGATTGAAATTTGGTATACTGAACTAATCCATTATCATTATATAGAAGGATTCAAAGAGTCAATACATCATCAGTATCATTTGATTTGTTTCCAGGGCATACATTACCGAAATCTAATAGTACATACTATTTGTTATGATTAATTGGAAAAGAAAAATTAAATGGCGTCATTTATTTGGCTTTGATTTTTATCTGCGTCCAAAATATTTTCTAATGAAATTATCAATCTACATATACATATGTATATGTATGTAAGCTTAGTCTATAAATCAGACTAAATCACGTAAAACATAATTCATACTTCATGGATCAGACACAATAGAAATCGATTTTTAATGCAATCTCCTTCGTGCTCCATTGAAAGTGATTTTTAGCAACAAAATTTCGGAACATTTGCAAAGCTCGCACATAACCAGACGACAATTTGGCATAAGGCCAAGAAAACAAGAAAATATAAAGAAAACTACCCACAGTTTTATACCCGATGTAGCATTGATTGTATGCAAAACTAAAAATAGAACAAAGTGCAAAATAAAGCAAGAAATATTAAAAGGAATGTTGAAATTAATGAAAATTACGGCATATCTATTTGCTTTTCCAAAGAGGACGAAAAGTACGTGTATCTCACATTTGGCAATATTAATGGATGGATATATTTGCAATTTGGATATATTTATTATGGAGGAAAAACGCGGGCATACAAAGCATAGCTAAAAACCAAACAGTGGAGAAGGAAGTAATAACATATCCTACACATAATATTTGTTTACCTCAAGATTTTCTAATTTTAAAAGCCAAATTAATTCAATATATATGTATATATGTACACATATGTATGTATTATTATTTCCATCGTATACGCAGACGATCATGGAGACCACGCATCGCTCGGATTTTTTGTGCATATAGTTGGGAGGTGAAACGTCATTGAGAAACAACTGTATTCGGCCAGGGACCCGAAAGCGCATTCCTCGCCGACGATCGCCTTATGCCTTGACAGCGCGATGTCCGAAAATAGATGAGCCGACACGCACCACGGTGCTGCCCATTTCGATCTGCGGGCAGAGCATTATGAACAGGAGGTTCCTAGTAAGTGAGTAGTTTAACATACCGCTCTGTCATAGTCGTTCGACATACCCATGGATACGAGCACGGAGTTGGGGGTCAGGGAGTTGGCCTCGCAGATAGAGCGATGCACCTCCATGAGCGAGACAAAGTCTGGATTGGGCCCTGTGCTGTAGTCGAAGCCAAAGGCTCCAATGGTCATGATGCCCACCAGTTGCAGATGCTTCAAGTTCTTGCTGATGAACTGGTAGAGCTTGGGCGCTTCCTTCGTCTCGATGCCACTCTTGGCTGCAAAGTAAGTAAGTAGTAGTAAGTAGTAAGTAGTAAGTAGTAGGTGGGCTCGTCTGACTGGTCTTAGCCTATGTACCCTCTTCGCCGCTGGTATTGATTTGAATGAGAACCCGGAGTGGCGGCTCTGTGTCTGGTTTCAATTTTGACCAGGCGGCATCCAGCTTGGTAGCTAGCTTCTCGCTGTCTACGGTTTGGATCATGTGAAGATTGGGGAGAGAGAGTATCTGCAATAAAGGAAGGTAAAGGTTTAGATAATCAAATACAGTTTGAACCACCGCACTTTGTTAATTTTGTTGTTCTGCAGGTGGCCGATGAAGTGCCACTTGATATCGGGGCACTGGGCCAGTATTTCCGGGTGCTGACTCTTCTCCACCAGTTCTTGCACGTAGTTCTCCCCGAAATCCCGCTGGCCGGTCTTGTACGCCTCTATAACAGCATCTGCTGGCTTTGTCTTGCTTACAGCTACCAAGAGAGGCTTTGCAGCCTGGATTTCCTTCAATAAATGGTTGCGATTTATAAATGATTGATTGGGATCCGAGATCCGTGTCATGCGGCTAGTCTCACTTTTGGACGCTGCAACAGAACTTCGTCGATGCGCTTCAACACTTGCTGCAGGCCGGCTTTAATGTCAAACTCCGCCATGGTGCGTCGTAACATTTGACGTTTTATAAAATTAATATATTGTAATGTGGTTATCGCCTCAGTTAAAGTTAAATCAAAGTAGTAACTGATAAAGAAAATTAATAGTTTTAAAATAAAATCGCAGAAAGCAATACACACAACAAAACCGAAACAGCTGTTTTCAGCTGTGATAACAGAGTTCTGGCTGTTAGACGCGTCTGTTAAGGGTCTGCTTGTTTCGACAGTAAAAAATTTCTCAATGTTTCCCCTATATACCGATATCAAAACAAAAGTTTGTCACACGTTATATTTAAATATATATTTAACGAAAAGTAAAATTACAATTACTTTTAATTTCTACTACAATTTAAAATATTAAAGTTTTTCGCCAAACCCGCTTACACGTTAGTATATTTTTTCTGGCAATTTCTGTCAGGCGTTAGGCTATTTTTCCAGACAGAACAAAAAATGAGCGCACGAAAGGTAAACAATTTGAATGTAGCTAAAATAATACAATTAATACAGTAATAAATGCATAGAAACCGTGGATAAAAAGCGCTTTCAGTGAATTAAATTTGACGCAGACCACCGCCGTTTCGGAGGGCACACCAGCTAAGCGCACGAGAAGCACACCCCACGCGTCAACCAAAACTCAAAGGAATCGAAATGGGAATTCAACGCCTACGCTTGCCGCCGCCTTAGTGGATATAACGGCAGAAGATGAAGACGGATGTGGGGACAACAGTGAGTCGCCGCCAACGGTTACCGAAAAATGGATGGAGAGTTTTGCCCCCACCAGCAGCGAGGAGCTGGCCGTGCATCCGAAGAAGATTGGCGAGCTGCGCGATTGGCTGCGTCACTGCGAGGCCATGCGTTGGAAAGTTCCCGCACAGATATGCCTCTTGACTGGACCAACAGGCGCTGGAAAGACAGCCACATTACAGGTGCTCGCCAAGGAATTTGGATATCAGCTGCAAGAGTGGATCAATCCTGTGGACTGTGAGGTTATTAATACGCTGGGCGATCAACCCAGTGGCGGCTCATACCTGGGTTCGCATCTGGAGGCCTTTAAGAGTTTTCTGCTGCGTGCCTCGCGTTACAAATCCCTGCTGAATGCGCAGAATAAGCGACTTGTGCTGGTAGAGGACTTTCCAAATGTACTGCTCAGTGACGCTGAGGCCAACTTTGACGATTTGCTAGAGCAAGTACCCCTAAAAAAACATCCCTCACCTGTGATTAATACTACCTTTTTTTACAGAAAATATTCCATCTATGGCAAATCCCCGTTGGTCTTCATCGTAGCCGATTCCAAGTCTCGGGGTCTGAACATAAGCTACAAGCTATTCCCGGACCAACTGAAAGCCAAACACCGCATCAACCATATCAGCTTTAACTCGATCGCAGCCACAATTATGCAAAAGTCGATGAAGACATTCTGTGCCATCATGCAGCAGAAGGGGAACAAGGCGTTGTATAAAGTGCCTTCTTCAACAGTAGTCGACTCAATAGTTGTCGGCGCCCAGGGCGACATACGCAATGCCCTGATCAACCTACATCTCAGCGCCCTGAAAGGAGTTCCCAACATGCCCACCAAACAACTGAATGTTAGCGTTACCAGCAAAGGACGCCAACGCAAAATGCAGAGCACCCTGAAGTCGATTGGACGCGACGAATCCATTACCCTGATGCACGCAGTTGGTCGTGTGTTGAATCCAAAGTGTACGTATAACAATTATCGCTGAGCTTGAACCTTCAATAATTGTTTGATCTGGTGTTTGCAGGCAACGAGGAGAAGCGGTTGCAGCACAGCCCTGAGGTCTTGACCGAAGCCTTCTGCACCGAGCCTAGAAACTTTGTCAACTTCATCCACGCCAATTATCTGCCGCATTTCCGAGACATTGAAGATGTTTTGCCCGCCATAAATGACCTCTGTCTATCAGATTTCATGCTCAATGAGTATCGTGACGATGCCCTACCCGTAATGGGTCTCAATCTTGCCATTCGCGGCACTATGCTAGCCAACAAAGACCCCGTCAGCGGTTGGATGCCCGTACGTGGTCCGAAGCGAATCAATGTGCTGCCTCCGGCCACATTAGCGGAGCAGAAACTATTGGGCATTGGATGTGCAGACACCTCAAAAGCTCTATACGCCACAGAATATAAGTCCTTTGTGAAATGCATAGCCGCAAGAAGCCCTAAAGAGATGCCAATAGAAAATGAACAATCCATAGAGGATTAGATTTCAGAACACAATAGTTTTAAATTTGTAATATTTACGTATCGTTAAGTTATTATTTGCTAAAAATGAAACGCATTCCATTTCCAATATAATAATACCGTCTTCAATGGGTGGAATTCACAATTTAACATTTTCATTCATCCACAGATCGGTTCTGTATCGTTGCATCACCATTCTTTGGCTTATCGTTCGAGTCCATGGGTTTGGGGTCAAGCAGAATCAATGACCCAGTGAAAGCACAGGCTTAACAAGTCGAAGATCATGAAGCAGCGAGCTTTCATTTAACAACCTTGGAAAGCCGTTTAAGTATGGCTGACCAGAGTAGCTTTCCTGAGAATAGGTTGCTGGGGTTATAAGGTTTCGCAAGCTCGGCCTTACGAAAGCAGTTGACACGTTCCGATAGCCTACCCGACCAATCTATATATCGAGCAAAACTTCGAAATAACGGTGGCCTCCAGGTATGGTGAGCGAAAGGGCTAGGGTTAACAGCACTATGATCGGATTCAAAACAACGCATAGATCAATCGCCCCAACATTCAAATTCAAAATTGACAAAACGGAAAATTCTGCCCACCTTTGCCGTTTCACTCAGTTCATGGAGCATTCATAGTCCTGTGCCAGCAAAAAATGGCACTAGTCCCCAATATCCCCCTCCCCTCGCTATGGACCACTCCACTCACACACAGAATGACAGAATTGGTGGACCAAAGCTGCTGTGCCGTGAACACATGCTTGAACTACTTTGCCAGCTTCCGCCCAAGGGATATACGGCAGATCCTTGACTTTCTCGGCGTGCACCACTGCGAAGTGCTGTTCGGAATTTTGGCTTTCGTCCTGTTTCAGTTTACCAAGTTCACGGCTATCCTTCTCCTTGCCGTCTTTTTGGCTTATTGTATTTTCTACTGGGTAAGTCCCCATGGAGGAGAGGCGATCTATTCATCTAAGCATCGTGTTCTCTTCCAGTGGGATACGTTCTTTCCGGGGCTGAGCCAACGAGAGTCCGGGTCCTCGCGGAGAGATCAATACGCTCCCAGCTACCTAGCTTCCTTTCCCAATACGACGGAAAAAGCTGAGTACCGCGATGAGCTAACAAATGCCAGATTGCCGCCATTCTACGGCACAACGAGCACCGAACCCAGTCCGGGTAAGTCTAACCCCCGTACACCCGACCGTACCCAATAATCTTTTACGCCCCTAAGCAAATTCCGATTATGGGCCAAACCAAGAACCACGAGGCTCCAGAACTCCACCTCAACAAACCATGCGAAATAATGAAGCTCAGACAATTTCAACGACCTCGAGCACAACAGATCCTGAATTTCCGAAAAAGAAAATGCTGGTCCCAATGGTTCCGCAGAGCAAATTGGTGGGCAACAGCAGTAGTGGAGTGGCGTCAAAGAGAGAGTCCCGAAAAATACCAGAGCAGAATAACCGAAAATCACTAACGCCGCCTATAGATAACACCCGAAGAACGCCCATTTCACCCGTAGATAATTTCCAAAATGCGCCACCCAGTGAGAAATCGTCCCCTCGGGCGACAGAGAATTTCCGAAAATCGTCCACTCCACTCTCAGAGAATTCCCGAAAATCGTCCGCTCCACTCTCAGAGAATTCCCGAAAATCGTCCACTCCCCCCTCAGACAAAATACGAAGAATATCCACTCCGACCCCAGAGAATAACCGAAGTTTATCATTAGACAAAACCGAAAGGGTGTCCGATCAGGCAATATCAACGCCTGTATTTAGCCATAACGGAACGACCCCCAGGTCAACCCTTGAATCCTCAACAAGAAATCGACATTCGTCCAATCAAGCTGACGAACGGCTCAACAGACGATCTCAGTATCCCTACCGGGATCATGAACAAGCCAGGGGATCGCAGCACACAGCAGGTGTCGGAGAGTTCAGGTCCCGACGGGTTTCAGATGATCCCGCGCAGTTACGTCGACGCCCGGGATCCCTCGAAGAGCAGCGCCACCGCAGACCGCCACACTCCAGCTCCCAGGATGAAGGAAGAGCGGGGAAACAACGCCGTCCTGGAAATAACAGGTCCGGCGTCACGCGACGACAATATCCCGATGAAGCCATCGAGCGCCTGAGGACCAACTACCGCGAGCTTCCGACTCAGAAGATTCCGGCACCAATTTCCTCCGAAGGGGCCTATTATAACAAACTTCACAGCCTACTCCCAAGCAATCGTAACCATTCCGAGAGGCATGATCAGCACATATCCCCAAGTAATCGCAATAATTCGGAAAGACGTGATCTACCAAAAAATTCGAGGAATAGTAAGCAGAGCAAGGAAGCTACTCAATGATGGCTGCTGGTAGTAATCAAAATTTATTTCAGATAACTTGGACCCCGATTCCGGGAATCGAAATAGAAGTGGCCGCCCGAACCCGCCCCATCTATAGCTTCGTCATTGTCAACAAACAGGCCAGGACAGGACAGGACAGGACAGGGACAGGACTGTACCCGCAATGAGGTAGGACTTTGTCCTCTTTTGAATTATCATGGTAGTATCATCCAGTATTCCCCAAAGCTCCTAAAATTGCTGTGAAGAGCATCCTGAGAATGTTCTAAAGGAACGCAAGAAGAGGAATATATTGAATGAGCATATATGTATGTCATAGAACCCGTACTTGAAAGCAGTACCAAAGATTTGGAAATGCCCAAAAACGGTGAAAATTAGATTCCTGTCGATGCAAAAATTTCCGAGAGCGAGGGGGAAACGGACAAAATCAGTGGCCAAACTTTATCTTCAATTGGAAGAATATCCGTTGTATGTGGAACTATTCGAGACCAAAACAAAAAATAAGAATTGGAGGAAAATCCATAGCTTTAGTAAACCGAAATTTCGCCCCATATATTGCAAAAACAACGTCTAAATTATAAATGAAACAAATATAAATAGAGCAAAGACATTTTTGAAATAAAACGTAGAGATGGGTAGTTTACCAAGGCACAAAAATACCACGCTGTTAAGTCAGCTGTTTTGATTTGGTATTTTTAGGTAAAAATAGATTAACGCTTGTTTTCGTTTGCCTTGGAAAAAAAGTGTATTTTATTTTTCAAACGAAGGCGAATATCCTGAATATATCCTCATTATGAATCTATAATTCATCAATCGGATTAAATTATGTGTTTAGTGATGAGAGTCCTTCAATATCAAAATCCACGAATTTGACTTCTGATCATGGAGAGAGAACAATTAACCCATTGTTGATATTAAAATTTTTCCACGAAAATTATGAATCCTGAAAAATTTTACCGCAGTTCAAGTGAAAGATATTGTGGCATTTTTCGTAAGTAAAAGAAAAGGTTAGAATGGATCTACAAGAAGAAATGAATTTCCGGCGGTTTAACAAAAGTTGTTCACCTATTTAAATAGTAGGTAGTTAGGGGGGCTAAGTTCGGGGGTCAGACCGTATATCGTATCGAAAAGTCCGCGGTCACACTGGTAAAAAATTGACTTCATCGAAAAAATAAATAAATAAAACTATAACAAGTACTCAAACATCTTCTATTCTTTGACTTGACAATTTTCACCTTTACATAAGCGTGCGGCCAATAAATCCCACGCTACTCAAAGGTAGCTTGTTTACTTAAAACTTAAAAGTAAAGGGTAATTCATTTTTAAAACGAAGGTGAATATCCGGCCAGTCCGTGTCACTACCAATGCAATTCACGGTCGCAAGATGACCATCTTCAATCTGTACATATTCGACAAGTGTGGCACGCTGATGCACTACGCCGAGTGGAATCGCACAAAGAAATCCGGCATAACGCGCGAGGAGGTAACAACGTCAAGAAATCCTATGCGTAAAACTTTTAATTATACCATTTTGCAGGAAGCCAAGCTGACCTACGGGATGCTCTTCTCCATCAAGTCGTTTGTGAGCAAGATCTCTCCCTATGATCCCCGCGAGGGCTTCCTCTATTACAAGACAAACCGCTACGCCCTCCACTACCTAGAAACGCCCTCGGGTCTGAAGTGAGCTCAAATATATGGCCATTACTTTAACTTACTTATATATAACGTATTCATTTGCACAGATTTGTTCTCAACACAGACACGACCGCTATAAACGTCAAGGAGCTGCTGCAGCAGCTGTACGCCAAGGTCTGGGTGGAGTACGTAGTGCGGGACCCGCTGTGGACGCCCGGCGCGGTGGTTACCTCCGAGCTTTTCCATAGCAAGCTGGACGAGTTCATTAAGCAATCGCCCATATTCGGCATCAGAAACATCTAGAGCTAGGTTACCCCTAAGTCAATAGTAAATGCTTACCAAATTCCAGCTCTAAGGTCTATGTCATTAGCCTCAGACCGCGCAGATCCGAGCCGAGTTGCTCTGAATTGCAGGTTTGGCGCACCACTCTAGCACTCAACCAAATTCACGCCTCGGGCGGCGGGCCGGAAATAGCTTGCACATAAAAAATGTCTGCGCCCGACTGGATCAGCTTTAAAACTAGCCTCCAGTTGCGCAAGGCCTGCCGTGTGCCGTGCGGCGCTGACAAAGGGGGACAAATGTCAAAATGATTACTGCAACTCCATGCGGTCTTAACAAGCTTGACTGTAAAAACCTGTGGGCTGCGAGGGTGCTGCTGTCGGCTAGTTGCTTTTGCCACAGATATCTTAGTCGCGTCAAGGGTTTTTCGCAATTGAAAATGATTTGCAGAATGCATCCAAAAATCGCTAGCGAAGAGCGTAGTAGCAGAGCTACATTGTGGCAGCACGTGAAGGAGTCTGGCTTCGCCGTTGGCTCAAAAAAACCGTTGGCTCTCAGATCCCGGCTGCTTGCCTTCGTACATGCCATATATGCATGAACGTGCAAATATAGTACATATTTAAAGGTACATACATATATGTACATATGTACATGCTTTTCTTATATGTGTATAGATGGCTTGCTTATTCAAAATTTCTGCAAGTCACAAGACGTTTGAACTAAATATGCTTTGTATAGTTTTAGTTTTTTTCTTCACATTGTCTTTAACGAATTTTAAAACTTGTTTCGACAGCTCGAGCCGCTGCCAGAGCCTCGATCCCGGTGTCGCATTGCAAAAGTGACCAAGACAATAAAAACGGAACC